CAAAGTTTTGTGATCATCAGGGTTGATGACAAAACCTTGTCGAAACGCTGTACATTTGCTGTCATGTTAAACTTATATTAAAGTTTTTCTTCATTACCCATTTAAGCCGTCTCCAGCCATTAAAAGTGAATGTTAGTATTAAATGCACCACATAGCTAGATTGGTATGGTGTTTTCTGACTCTGTGTAGTACATTTAACATTACTGTATTTTCGTGGAGAGTTCAGGTATTATTTTATTTTCTTGTTTATTGTTTTGTATCTTCATAAACATTCATTTTAGGTTGCACTAAAGGAAAATTACTGCTACTAACTCGACACAGTTTAAACATTAGTATGTGTCGTTGCAAATTTGTCACAGAGGAGTGTCTTAACGAGTTTTCATTGGTCAAAACATGCGTTAGGGAGATTGAAGAAAAAATCGGAAACGTTATACTAGGTTATGTTTTTCAAAGAAATTTATTTTTATGACAGTAGCTCAAGTCAACAGCTAGCGTTTCTGTGTTCCCTAAGTATGGTAAACTATATCATTTATTTACTGTCACTGTCATTAACGGTATTAATTATACTATTTAATATATCAAAAGTCACTACTTTCTTATTCTATCTTTTATTATAGAGATTGTTTGACATTACTAGCTTAATATATCTATTTATGACTAACCTAAATTTCCCAAGTTAGGAGACCAAGTGATGAGACAGTACATTCTAATCTTTATAAGTAGAAATTTAATATATATATATAGCTAAACTGATTTCCAGATTGATTTTAAGTTCTACTTGCTCTGCTCTGAAGTTAATATTAATTTCTCTAGACGACACTAAAGTAGACAGTTTGTGAGGGGAAAAAAAATCAAAACTGCTTCCAGCAGATGGGGATTCAACAGTTTTGAAAGGGTTTGTCTAGCTCTGATGACTTGCAAACAAGAAACTTTAAAGCAGATTAGTCATCAACGTTTCTCTGAACTTTGACATCCTTTTAACCGTCATTAAAATTAACAAGAATACAGTACATATATTAAAACGGTCTTTTATTGTTCACGTAATAACTGTATCCGTTGTCAATGAGAATATGTTATACCGACGATATTTCTACACGCATCACTGAACAAAGTAATATTACAACAGAAATGAATTCCAAATTCACGAAACACGTGTTGAAATTCGTTCGTCTACGTGCAAGAACGCTGTTTTAGCAAGACAGTGAGTGCTACAGACGAAAGGACACTAAAATCAAAATTTTACTCAGCTTTTTTTAAAATTGTTATTCAAAACTGCATATAGCTAACTTCATTTCCCCTCCCCTATTACATCTAAAGAGTATATGGATGATCACGAGTTTTTAAGTTTTGTTTTCTACTCACATGATGTTGGGTGTATCAGTTACGAAACTAACATCTATCTAATCTTTGTGGCGCCTGGAATCTGCACGGCAAAAAGTTTCGTTTTTATTTTAACTGGATTGGCCTTGCGAGTTTTTTGGTTCTGAAAAAAATTACTTTATAGTATTAACGTACCTACACTTAACACTGGATGTTCTCTTTTACTAATAGCCCTACATGTGCCCAGTACTAATCATGTTGAATAAAAAGCAGTTAATGTCCTTAAATTTCTTTTGTTATTTACAAGATATTTCGTTTTTATCAAACATTATAGCTCTAATTTAAATGTAGGGTTTTTTAGCATGTGGTTATTGGTAACGAAGGCTTTGAATTTTGTGACAGGGCTGAAGCTAAAAATTACGTAAAGGATGAAGAAATGCCAGCACATGAATTTTATCTTTGGTCCTTCTTAAATTGTAACAGTAATTTTAAACTAAAGACATATATTTAACCTATACAACCTGCTTTACCGTGAAGATTAGTTGATACATCTTACACTGAACGATGAAGTTCAATCAACCTCTTGTTTGTCATGCAGTGAAGCCACAAATACGTAAGATTATTAAATGTGATTGGTTCTCTTCCAAGTTATGCACATAGCACTAATGCTGTATTATTTTCATCATATTTATTATAGGCTTTCACCATATACCATATTGATTGCTTTTCTCATATGAATAGGTGTTGGAACAAGGGAGAGGAAATCTTGAATACACCAGAAAGGAGCAAGCATCCACTTTTGGATATATTTTGACATGTTTACATTTTCTTCAAAATGAATTGTGTTTTTAGTCTAAAATAATGATTGTAAATAAACAAACAAACATTTCAAAGTGTATTTGGTGGTGGAAAATAAAGAATTGGAATATATGTAGAGATCGTGTAAAAAAAATATATCATATTGGCCACTAAACAGTTTATTTGCATATTAATTTTGGCTTTTGTTTTTTTTTTCCCTCAATTTCTATTATATCTTGACCTACACTGCATTCAAATAGGCCCAAACTGCCACTCTAGTAAGTTTTCTGGGGAAGCATGCCCTAGACACATTCAAGTGTTAAGTTGATTCACTTTCAATGTTTTCTCACTTACATACATTTTGTTTCTGATGCCAATGATACATTTAAACAATAAATTCAATAATACATGTACAGAGAGTGTGGTTACTTCATTTCTAACTCTGTTATTTTGGAGTTTGTTGAAGTAGATTCAACTTTATAGTGTAATATTACTTCTTTGATGTATAAGATTATGTTTTACTCTAAATATATTATGACTACTTAGTTTTCTGTTAAATATTTTTAATTCAGTGTATTTTCCCAGCAAATGAAACAGTTAGCCAGCATGATGTCACTATGACATAGTGCTACTGTTCTTACATATTAATAATTAAGATTTTAATGACATTGATTTTTAATAAATCTTTAATAGTCTAGTAGTTTCAGTGGTTTCTACATAGAATGTATCAACCTTTACTCTATAAAAACTATTTATGAGCAAAGTTTACACTGACATAATTTCATTTAATGGGATCTTAATTAAAGTAACAGTTTTTTAAGTTCAAAATTAAAAATTGTTTATTTTCCTGAGGTAGTATTTAAAGATAATGCTGAATCTAAAATACATAATAGGATTTTTCCAAACATATACATGGCAACTTAAAAAATAAAAAAAGAAGGAATCACCATGACTCATACACCCTCTATCCATACTTTAAAGAACAGGAAGCTATTGTGACGCACCATCCTGGCTCAGTATTATTTCTGAAGAACGTAAGCAATATCCTGAGCTGCTTACAACCTGTTTCTCAAGTTAAGCTAAAACCTGATCAGCTTTAAATGTAATACTGAGGATTTGCAAGCTTCATTTATTAGTGTTATACAATAATATTAGTCATCAGTGATATTTTGCTGAGAAGTAGGAAGGAGTAACTCACATTTTCAGAGAGAAAAGTAGTTACATCTGATGAAAACTAATAATGGTTTCCAATGATGTTTTAACCAAAAAAATTTCTAAAAAGAACAAACCTAAAACTAGTGCCTGTTATTTTAATATTTTTTATATTAAAGATCTCACAACAAGCTAAATCTTTGATGAATTTCACTTATATTACTTGCCAGAAGATTTTACTCACACCAAAGAAAATCTCTAATAAACAAACTTTGCACTAAATGCAAATTAATCCTTTCATAACTGAAGTACTAAAAATCAGAAAAAAGTAAGCATGGACTAAGCGTATTTTTCCTTTGAATTTAAGGCAATAAAGGAATGAGAGAAAACAGAAATGAGTTATGGCTCTTTAAACTTTGTTTATTTTTTACTGTCATAATGGAAAATGAACCTAATATAATATAACAAAATTGAAAAAAAAAATCCTATAATTTAAAAGAATTAAATGTTAACCTTCTTCCTAGTTATAAGTTTAATCTTGAAATAATTACAAACTTCTGTTATGAACAACAGCCAAAAGTGCAAACTTTAGTCAAAATAACAGGTTTTTATTACTTTTATTTTGAAAATTATTCTTAGCACTACATACTCAAGACTTGATAAGCTTATTACTCAATTTTCTTCTTTACACATAAAGAAAATGTACTTTGGCTTTTATCTATAAGAAATTAATTCACTAAAATCTTAAAAACTATTCTTATACAAATATTCTACTTATCAATATGTGGTCAGCATTCTAATTATTTATAAAAGTTTAAAAAGTGTTTTATGTACATACATTCTACTTTAAATAGCCAAGCAATAAAAGTATAGTAATGTATCAGTATGCTTTGAGATTTTCTTTACAATATTAAAATTTTGAAATTTTACAACTGCTCAAATTTGATAAATCAATCATCGCTCCATTGATTAAACATACGAAGAAAATGACACTCACCTCTGATATGCTAGTGGGTGCAGAACTGCTAGGTAGGATAGGTGATGGGCTGTCGGGACTTGGATCACAGCTTCCTACATTTGGGGCATGAGACCAAGTATGAATTTGTGGGTGAGTAGTCCCATGAGTATTACTTATATATTGTTGTACTTGTCTTCTCTGGCTCTGCAAAACGTGGTATTTTGTGGGGTTTTCTAATCGAGTCTGGACCTGGAAGAAAATGCATTTTCAAAACTGTCAATTTTCTATTTGTTCTTATATATGATAGTTATAAACAGAACACTATGCATGTTTTTTAGAAAGTCACTCCCTGATAGTGTTAACTCTATAACTTTGTTAAAGCTCTAAAGGTTTGTAAAACCATGATTGTAGTAATTATATATATCACATTATCAGCAGTTAGGTACCATATCTAAGCCATGAATTCTGCTCATTTAAGTGAATTTCTTTAAGAATCATATTTGGAAATTGAATGTTTTTCCAGATCAAAAACACCTCATAAAAGGTATACCTATAATGATGAGATCAATACATCAGCTGCCAGGAATTCAGAATTTTAATTTGGAAGTTTGGATGTAATAGGAACTTTCTATGACTCAAAAAAAGCTACAGTTATAAAATATCACTGTTTCAAAAATAAATTTACCTAGCAAAACAAACAGAATTATTTAAAAGTTTCATAAGTAGAGATCTGCTTTGTAAACATAAAGTTGGTAGACTATATATGTAGGAATAGCCAAGGTACTCAATAGGCATAATACAAATAATGCATGCTAAAAATCAACAATGACAGAGAGTTTTAATTTCTACTCACTTTAATTTGTTTCTCTACCATCATTAAGATACCAAACCCAAAAGTGACCAACAAAGCAAACTGTTATTCTTTCTTCTTCTTGTTTTGGTCGAAATAACTCTACAAGTACTTTATAACTAATGTCAGTTTAAACCTGAGTTTACTTTATGTGTTTCTGGGCAGTGCACAATGTAATTGCTTAGTCGTAATATCTAGTAGTAATTTTTAAAAAATCATAAATCTAGTTTAAATGATGTTATCATTACCCCCGGAAGTTAGCTTTCTTACAGAAATCTGGTGTTCCTTCAAAAAGCTTAAGTACAGGGTGAAACAGGAATTACCAGCTAATAATAGATGAACATTAGATGACTGTAACATGTATAATACTCAATGCTTTATACACCATACAATCAGTGTCTTTGGGGAGCCAACCCCTATATTATGTATCAAGTGAAAGAGTAAAAAAAATCAATACACATAATATAAAATTTTTATTACACACATTCATAAAACTAACTTCCATTCAGGGGAAAAAACAGCATAAAACAAGTAACAAAAATCATTTTGTAAATGTAAAATGATGTATGGATGGCAGTGCCTAAAAGAATGCAAACAACAATATAGGGATGATACAACTATACATAGATCATCCCTACATGACTTTCAATATTAAAATTTAATGTTCCACTGTAAAATGCACACTTGACTTTAATATTACCACAGTTAGAAGTTATATATTCCTGACTGTTGGTATGCAGTTGGTTTATCATAAAATCATGGACATGTCAGGGTAGGTATCGATGGAGTGTAAAAAGAAGTATGTTATAGGTCAAACCACTAAGGAGTTAAATCGAAGGTCACATGACGTGACAATGTAACAAATATAACTGATATAAGTACCACAAAACAAGTGCATATTACAGTAAAAAAAAACTTAAACTCTACCTATTACTCTGCTCTCTATGACAAAAAGTACATTTAACCATCAATGTAGCGTAACTGAGAGTCGAAGATTTACGTGCAAGGAAAACCAAGTTGAGTCAAAACATGTCTTGATTATTACAGACTCTTGCTACGAGGTCGGTCAATTTGACCTACCTCATCACGATTTTGTACTCGTGCATTTTACAGTGTAACATTAAATGTTGATATTGAGTCATTTAGGGATGATCTATGTATAGCTGTATCATACCTATATTCTTGTTTGTATTCCTTTTGGCACTGCCATTCCTACATCATTTTACATTTACAAATTTTTTTATTACTTGTATAAAATACATTGTTCAATTATATAATTATCTGTTTTATCAGAGAGGAAAAACTACTATTTTTATTTGAAATTTCATTATCATGCTAACAAGGTTTTATATGAAGTTAAAAATATAATTAAGATCATCTTTTACTTTCTACACATAGGTTCAGTTACTAGTTAAGATGCTTGAATATTAGCAACTGTTTTACGTTTATAATAAATTAGCAAGTAAAACTCATGATACTCGATCACTGCAACAACTCTGAACTTTTTTGTTATAATTTTCGAAATATTTTGTTTCAGAATATTTGAACTGACAGCCTAGAGGAAAAGCAGCTAGTGAACAACTCTTGGTTGCCCAAATAGTGAGATTTGACCTTCATTCTTATAGTGTACCCATGGTCCTGAAGTGCGGAGTGAACTTTTATGGCAATGGGAAGTAAACCGTGAATTCTCAAATTCATAGTCTGAGCATATTAACCACTAGGCCACACCTGGCCCATTTTAAATAATTTGAGATAAGGAATGTAAGACAAGGATTGCTTATATTTTTTCTATCACACTCACCTTGTTCAAACCAAAAACTTAGATCTATACATTCAGGATTTACAACCAAGTGGCTTAGTAATAGGTACAATGATGTAATAATTTACAAGTACATGATTTATATTTACTATCTACAAACATCAGCAAAATCAAGTGCTTTTAGCATATTTTATATCAAACAGTCTGTCATAAATTAGTAGTCAAAAGCTGTTAACGTTGTTTATGCATGGAATGTATATCTCATACATAAAAAATAAATATTTCCATGGTACCAAATCATTATATTTTTAAGAATATCTGAAAAGATGAGCTTTGTATGAATACTGCATCACTCTCATAGTAATTAAACTGCCTACATAACTAAATTTTTAAGAAGTAAATTTCAAAACATCAAAATTAGCTTATGTTAAACAGCCAAAAGCAGCATTCTCAGCAAGCTTTTTTTCCCCTTGTTATTGAAATGCATAAGAAACCAAAGATATGTAACCGTGTATGTGTTCTAAAGAATATATATAGTACATTTACTGCACATATTCAATGTAAATCTCCCCTTAGTATGTTAATAACAAAAAATAAAATAAAAATTATAATAGTCAATATATACCTAATTCACTTGTACTTTTAAAGGGAGTGTTCATATAATCAGTCTGGAAGTTCTTCTGTTTTTGCAATAGTTTTTATAGTGGAGCAAATTTTGGGTTTTTACAGGTTGAGACTTCAGAATGCCATAAAGAGCAGAAATTCTTGTTCACTTCAGGAATCAATGCAACAAGCACTGTATATGAAGTAGGTTTTTATAGAGTACCATACAAAGCAAATATGTATACTGGAATTGGAAAACAAGTTCTCATTTCAAAAATCATGTATTTGTGTCATGCTGGGTGTAATAAACATAGAGAGAAAAAGATCAAAAGTGCAAAATATTATACAAATGGTTAAACAAATGAAATAATGGGATTAGTCATGTGATGAGAAGATCGCAATAACTGATGGATAAAGATGCATGTCATAACTGAGCAAACATTATTTAATGGGAAAACCTAATGGGAGGGACTAAAATGACCTACAACAGAAACTGTGGGACAAAGTTTGTCCAAGGCAAATTAAGTTTGAAGACTTGTTGAGTTGTATTACTGCTAATGGAGAAACTAGCATAGATGGTGATGATATGGTATCATGGAATTTGTTTTTAATGTATTAAATATTTCTGCATCAATAACATATTTTGACTTGGAAATTTTCAAATCAGTAACAAAGTTAGTCCTACTTTCAGAGTTGTGTTTAAAAAATTCAGGTCATACATGTATTTGAGGACTTATTTGTAGAGTTTATAGTGCCACATCTCAGCAAAATTCAAAGTTAATTGGTTATGATAAATTTTTCTAATTTACATATACATTAAATAACTGCTAAAGTGACAAAGAATATGTTAAAAATTACATTCTGTAAGTATAATTTGATAAAATTATCATGGAAAGAAAATATGAAACACTGGAAGTGTGACTAAACTATAATTCCACATGTGGATCCTACAGCACAAACATCATACATGAAGGAACAGTAACTGAGCTTGCTTAGTTAATTACTTCTAGGAAAGGCTTTGAAAAACAAGTGTAATTTAGTTTGGAATGGAAATATAAGAAAAAAATAAACTTTGATAATTATAATACATAAAGACAAGAAATATCCAGCACATTATAAACTTTAACATACAAATTACTATGCATATTCCAGTGGAAAGTTTGTACAAACATTCTTAAACTTATAACTGACAGGAAGCTAGTCTAGCCTACAGATGAGCAATAAATTAACACTCTAACAACGTTTTTTTTTCAATGAAATGAAATTTGTTGCATCTGAAAAACTAACTTGTAGCACTTGACGAGGTACAGAGAGACCAACTGCAGAGGTTGCTAATGGTACTTTAATTGCAGCTGTTGTAAGAGCAGAAGATGAAAGTATCTTTGGTTGAACTAGTGCTTCTTTCTGTTTTAACTGTTGCATCTGTTCTCGCATCAACTGTTGTTTAAGGTTGGTACGACTCATTATGGCAGCAGTTTTCAGATCCACAGAACTATACAATATTTAAAAAATAATAATAATAAGAAAAACTTCTCTTGTAATAGTATCATATTATATATATATATATACATAAATGTTAAGAAAAATAAAGCATTTTGCTCTTCCTATACAAATTAACAATAAAGACAGGATATTGAAAAAAAAATTTAAATACATATATAAAACATATATACATAACATTTTTATATGATTTTTAAGGCATTGATTGACTTCAAAAACAAATTCTTGCTGTGTGTATTAATTGCAGAAGAAAGTTGAATAGATCTGTTTTAATTGTTGCAGAAAACAACAACAACTATAGGATGAAATTTTAACTTTAGTCACACATATACCTGTGTGTCTAAGTGTGGTGTGATGAAAAGGTTGAAAAAATATGAATTTGAATACTACGAGTAATCCAGGATTAAACTTGGAAATCCTGATGTAGACTTGTTTTTCAATAAAACTTATTTTTGGTTAACAGTTATACATTTGTGGAATGGCTAACTGGATGATGTAGTGTGTGTGTGTGTTATGCAAGTTGGAATTATTTTAAGTATTTGAAAGATACAGATAAGTTCATGGACATAAAAGCTTATATTTATATAAGATTTTGAAGTCACTAAAATGTCTAGCCCTAATATTCCTTCTTTAAACCAGGTTTTTAAAATCAGAGTAACATTAAATTATCACTAGAAAAAGTATACAAAAAAAAAAGCTACATGGAAATGAAATCCACTTCTGTGCACAGAGGTACTGTACATACGTGTAACTTTAGGTGCAAAAACTGTATGCTTACATTTGTTTTGTAAATCAAAGACAAATATTGGAAAACATGGTAACTGATAAATTAAAACTGTTACTATAACCATATATTCTAACAACTGGGGCAAAGAAAAGTTTGATTTTTAGTTATGATTTAAATAAAATTTGAACTCATGTTTAATTAACTAGTTAAGTAAAGAAAAAATTAACATTAAATTGAAACCATGAAAGGTCAAAAGCATTAATACCGATAAATGAAACACATCAACTTAAATTTCAAGCTAAAGGCCTAAACATGTTTACTCTATTTAACTAGGAAAAATTATGCAAGAAAAAGTATTAAAAATAAATAAACAATTGGTGCACAAGTAACCTTTACAGGAAACTAATTTGTACATGAGCCATAAAGGGTTTCATCTAAAAATATATCATAGTGCTAAGAAAAGATTATTTACCCTTACATCATCACTAACACTGTGCACAAGTTTCTAATTTAAATAGACTCATGTAAAATTTATATATTCTATAACAAGTTTGTGATACATGTGATTATGCTTTTTCAAACAATGTTTCCATATTGCATAGAATGTACACATAACATTAATTATAATTTCTGTTAACCATATATTTATATGTCTTTCACAGTACTTGCATGGAGTAAGTGTCCAAGAAGTTTTGAAACTCAGGTCACTGGGACATGATTGACAATGCTACATAGTGAAATTATTCTTTCCTAAGAAATATTCCACAATTGAGAACTTTGTTTGTTTACAAGGTATACCCAATAAACTGAAGTGAATGGAAGGAAAGAGTTCATCTAAGACACAAGAAAAATCAGTAACTGTCATTATAATATATATGACCGGGAATTATATGTTCATACCAAGCCAAAATAAGTACCTAATCAAATGACAATTTATTCTCACTAATGAGATAAATTTTATTTACATTACAATACTTGTCATAATTAAGTGATTTTTAAAAATTAATTCAGGATGTTCCTTTTAGAGAGCAATTAAAAGCAACTGTAAAAGTGGTAATGACCAACACCTAAAATCATACACATAAATTATTACAAAATGTAACACTTATCTTTTCCTTCCATTAAAAAATACAGTATATTTAACTTTCTAAGCTACTATGGACAGTTAAAGGTCTTCAAATATTCATACGCCACAAAATGTATCATTAATAAAAATTATATATGCCACCATAATAGAACTGATTACATTCTTCATATCATTTGTCCAGGTTTCCATTAAAAAAAAGTGAATATATGAGTGTTTCAACTACTCCTAATTTGTTGAATACCACTTCTGATGAGGCATTTTACTCAATCCCAGAGCTCATCAGGTCAGCTGGGTTACAACATAAAGTTTTTGCAACATCAGTCATTTACAAAACAACAACATAATATGAACTTTAAGTGTTGTAAAAAATTTTCTCCAAATAAGTGCCTGATAAAATGGACTATCAAGTAACACCCACTAGCCACTTTATTAACAAAAATACATAAACTTCTTTTGGTTATCCCAAACATTATAAGCTGATAAGCCACCAACCATAATTCTGTGCAAGTAATTTCATTATAAGCTGATAAGCCACCAACCATAATTCTGTGCAAGTAATTTCTGAAATTAAGTATTTCTTATAATTTATCCTACTGGAAATGATTTACATTTTCACAAAAAATACAGAACATTTTGCTCGTCTTAGCCAAGTTTAATGGTCATTTTAATAATGACTCGATTGAAACAGCTGCTGAATGGGTATACAAAAGTTAACATTGTGTGTGTGTGTGTGTATAGTAAGGTAAAAACAAATTCCCAAAGCTTCTTTTTGTTTCATGTTTGGTCTTAAGCCAGAGTAAAGACAAAAAGTAGAGCTTAAAAAATTATTTGAAGTTAAATTTTAATAGAAAATCCAGTAAAACTGATCATCCTGTGTAAGTAAAATCATGCACATACCGTGTTTGTGTTAAATAAGTCTTAATAAAGACTGTTCATTTTATATTTCACTTAGTCTGGTATTTTTATTTCATTCATTCACAGTCACTCAGTGATATAAAATTATTTTATACTAAGTATCTTAATTGCGTCTCCTTTTATTAAGCAGACCTATCCTATTGCTCAAAAGTTAATTCAGTTTTACCTGGATATATCACAGTATTACCTAGCCTTCACTTGCCATTATAAGTTATACAACATATCATTAATAATAGTAAATCATCATCTAATTAATTTAGTTAAATCAGTGTCTGGTAAATGTATTATACTTATCAACTAGTTCTCAGGTTTAGTTTTATTTATCTATTACTTCCAGCTTACTGCTCCTAAACTGACCATGTGGTGCATCTGATGACATACTACTCAAAGTAAATTCCACAACTTTTCTCTTTTGCACTACTCATGTTAATCTAATTTCAAGATTTATATTTCTTAATTTATTGAACCCAAATTTTTATGTGTGTGTGTGTACACATGCACAAACATTAACATTATTTTCTTTTATTACTTTCTGTGTCTTCTCTCTGCCTCCACTGATTAAACAACAGTAGCATGTTAGAATCCATTAACCTTCAACATCAAAATAATTAAAGTTTTCACAATTTGGATCCAGAAATCAGTTTTTATGAATCACTCATTGTTTGGAAAATTAAATAAATTTCCTTATGCTTGTATCATGTTTATCCATAGAATCAGTCAGAAAATCCTGCATAACTATATGCAACTAACACCATGCCTTGCACTTATAATTAAAAGCTATTTGCCAAATATTTCTCCAACTCACCAACTGATCAAATTAAGTCATACAGTAGTATCTCAGAATTCTCAGTACAACTATAAATATGCAAGAATTTTTCATCAGTAAACTTTACTAAATTACTAATTATGCACATATCAATACAATTATGTAAGTAAAAAAATTAAGGACCAAGCAGTGACTCTTAGGCACTTCACTAGAAATAAGGGTCTAATCTGACCATATTCCATTATTAATAACCCTTTACTTTCTCTCCATCTACCACCCTACAATCCAATTAACTAGTCTTTTCCAAACCTCTATTAATGTAATTTTCATAGATAATTTCTTTGTGTGACATCTTATCAAAAGCTTTTTGGAAATCTAAGTACACCAGATAACAAGTAATATACTCAAAAAAGTTAACAAATTAGTAAGACAAGATTTTCCTTTAGTGAATCAATGTTGGTTTTAATTTATGATAATAATAATAATTTTCATTAAATTACTTTGCAAAGAATTGTCTCACTACAGAAATAATAATACTTGGCTTAAAATTTCCAGGACAACTCTTATCACCCCCTTTAAAAATAGGAGTAATATAATATCAGCAACTCTATAATCCTCAGGCACCTGTCCATTATCTAATGACCTACAAAATATGAAAGATAGACACTCACATATCTGATCTTTGACCTTCTTTAAAACCCTGTGGAAAACATTGTCTTGGTGCTTTATTTATTTTTAATCTCTCAGTCTTTCTACTTACCACCAATGGATTAACATGTATATGGTTCAAGTTAATCCCAATATTTCCTATAGAATATTTTCAGGGCCAAGAAATATTACTAATATTTTTTCTTATAAAAACAGAAAGAATATAACATTTCGAGGCTCAGCCATCATATAGTCTTCAACAAAAACTTTCCCATCAAATCAACATTCTTTCAGGACTCAATCCTCACTTTTAACATTTTGCTTACCTTTAAAAAATCCTAACCATTAGTTTTAGCATTATCTTCTAGCTGTTCCTCAAACTCCTTTTGGATTTAATAATTTCTTTTTTAATCAAACCTCTAGCTTTCCTATAGTTCAGAAAATCTTACATCTCATATGTCGTTGTTCTCTTATTTTTTCCTTTATGTCTTTGGTAAGGCAATTAGACTTGATCTTCCCAGTTATCCTTTTCATCTTTTTGGAAACATGCCTGATATGATATACTTGATGGGTTACATGTGCAGCCAACAGAATGTTAGAGATTTGGTGTCAATAAGAGAAACCCTTGCTTTGAGTCACAGTATCTTTCTTCCATCATTTCAAATACTGGGAGAGGAAATTATAAACTTTTACATCAGTCAATGCCATTTTTCAATAACAAACACATTTCCTACATGTGTACTTAAAAACTAAAACTGTCTTCAACACATATAATTAATATTAACTTCTGAATAGAATGCATTGTTTATCACTTGCTGTTAATGATGGCCCGACATGGCCAGGTGGTTA